ATGTTTATTGGAGCAACTTGTTGACAGATTGACAGCAATTTAAGACAATTGGAGTTTGAACTCCAAATTGTTCTTAACTGTGAAAATGTGGTTCAGTGCACTCCTGTTAAATCCCGCCCTTACCTCGCTTCACATCATATAAAGGCTGTCAGTTTGCTCTTCTCACACTCATCACAGGAGTGGGATGTCACATGCAAAGTCAGTCTACACTGGCCCCCAAATCTCTCCACCCAGTTTACACCCTGATCCCCTTTTTGCTTGATAGTCTCTTGTGATTGTCTTGTTTCCTTTACTTTTGTTTCCTTGGCAAACTGTGATAACGAAAAAACGACATTCCCTTGAAGACAGCAGCGGATGTAACAGGCTCACTCTTTGTGCTCCGTCCCTTCGATCTCTTAGCTGTTCATGATTTGAGTCCTGTGGATCTATGCAGATGAACCCCACCACAAACCAACTTCCACCAACACCGTCACACCACCACCTTGTCCTTTCTGTGTAAATATGTCCTTAGGATGTGGAATCCCAAAATGGCCGCCCACCACCCCACACCTTCCCTTTCCCCATCTTCCCGTGCCTACCCCTCACTGTTGGAATCTCACTGTGTTTTCTGTTTGCCTCTTTGGTTTTTTGTCTGTTTTTTGAGATTTTTGCCGCATTTCTGTTGTCTAAAGCAGTGGTGTGAGTTGATGAGTAGGACTAAGTTGGATGTTTAAAAGATGAGATGAAGAGGTCTTGAGAAAAAATATACAAAAAAAATGATGCTTGAATTGAGAAAAAGGGTTCAAATATAGAGAAAAAAATTATGATAAAGTTGTCATATTGTCATACTAGAGATGCTTTAGTTTGCTAATATTCTTATTTTTTTTTTCTACAAAAAGACTTGGATGAAATTATTTATAAAAATGCGTCCCACGAGTCATGATCTTTTTTGGACGTAAAACAAATACATTTATTAACATTTTGTTCAAAAGAAAAATAAATATAAATTATGTTAAACATTACTGGTGTTTGTATCATTTTCTCTATGTGTCTGGATACTCAACCCAAAGTCTTCAACGAGAATAAAGACATGAAAGAAGTAATTGATGAAGAATTTTCACTTAATGGTTAGGGCCCATGTGTTGAGGCTCTCGTCTCGAGCGGTAGGCCTGGGCTCACCTCCACCCGTGGCCCCCTTCCGCGTGTCATTCCCCGCTCTCTCTCCCTGGCTTCCGGCTCTATCCACTGTCCTGTCTCTGCATTAAAGGCACAAAAGCCCAAAAAATAAATCTTGAAAAAAAAAATAATTTTCACTTAACTCTACAAATGTTTTTTAAGTGAAATAAGAACCTATTGTATGTATGTGTGTGTATGTGTGTGTGTATATGTATGTATGTATGTGTATGTATGTGTATGTATGTGTGTATATGTATATATGTGTGTGTATGTATGTGTATGTATGTACAGTATATCTATGTACCCCTGACTGTAAATCACATGTTATATGCAGTCTACGTTTTGTCCACGAGATGGAGCCAAATCGTCCCAAACAGAAAGTTAATGACAGGAGCTCTAAGTATTTTGCGATGATGCTTTTGTTTGTTGGTGTACCGGAAGTAATCAGGCTTCAGATTTATCTAAGTGTCACAATCATCATTTCAGCTGCAATGCTTAGATCTTTCTGTTGGAGAGGTGAAGACAGAACAGCAGATTTAAAAATTGGGAAGTCAGGCTTCAACCAATCAAGAAGCAGCAAGTCCAGCTGGACTGACCAATCAGACACACACCCCCACACACACTCTATGTAGAGCAGAGCTCCACAACAGTAATGATTATTAGCTTTTGGTTAGAAAAGTACAAAAAAATCATTTCCTAATCGTTTATTGACAAAGATAAAAGGTATTTTATGGGGCTGTCATGAAAGGTGGATTCTTTTGTCTTAATGTTGTGTTTTTATCTATTTTTATTTTAGTTTGTAGATTCTTAAAACTGATCTTTTTGGATATTGTGTTGCAATTCATAAATATGTCCAGCAGGTGTCAGTGTGGGACTATTAACAGTTTCTTTAGAGTGACGTAATGCCAAATCTTTAAGTGTTCATTCATCAGCCACACTTTATTACCTATAACACATTTATAAAGAAGGTTGACTTTTCGTTCATATATTTAGGAGGTGAAATAAATCAGACAGAGAGAACTCATCAACTCAAATAGAGAGAATATGAATAATAAAGTTTGATTCTTATTATCATCAGTCCCACAGGAAACTGGAAGTGTATAATGTGCAGACATCATCATACAATGGTGTTGGCTGGTTACCGGTTGCACTAGTTTTATGTATCATATTCCCTGCAGGCCTTGAATGCACCATCCTGCAGCCTGTGCATCATCGCTGCCTCAGTGTTTTGGTCACTGTTTCCTGATTTTACATGTTAAATAGTTCATATTTCCTCCAGGCCATCATGCAGCCTGTAAAGCACCACGAGCTCATGGGGGCCTGATTGTAAACCTGCTGCCTACTACTTACACTAATAAGATTTGATTTTTTTCCTGCAGCCTGTGAATTTTATCACTCATGGATGTAGAATAAAATATTTCCTACAGCCCCTGAATGCATCAAATGCCCATGGCTGTTCATCATAGACTGTAAATATTACCCGTTCACTGGTTAAGTCACTGTTTACTCGTGACACTGGTTGGATATATTCCATGTATCCTGAATATCCTCCATGAACGCATCACATGCTGTCCATCATCTGCATTACAGCAGCGTGGATCAATTGATGCTTGAGCATCTGGGGCGCGTCTCCGCCGCTCTGATCCCTGTGAGCACGCTCCCGGTGCGGGTGCATGAGTGTGCTCGGTGACGCGCCCGCAGCTCGGTGTCGCGGACACATTGCGTGTATGTGTGAGCAGATCAGAGACAGACATCAGGATGGGACGATGTAACGATCTGCTCCATTTTCTCTGAAACACCGCGTCCTCTCCGCTCCCCTTTTTCCCGGGAAAATGGCGACGGGGGCTGGCTGGCAGCCTCCGTACAACCCCCCCACCACCTCCAGCTCCAAATACACCACCTCCCTCTCATCCAGCATGTCTACGACGGAGGACTGACGCTGGAATACACACAAGACCTGCACCTGAAGATGAGCAAGAAGATCGCTCAGCTCACGAAGGTGTGTGTGTGTGTGTGTGTGTGTGTGTGTGTGGTGTGTGTGTGTGTGTGTGTGTGTGTGTGTGTGTGTGGGCGGGGGGGGGCAGGTGTGGATGGAGGATGGAGCTGCTGTAAACACGCACAAGAGGAGGAGAAGGATGTGGAGGTATTTGGCTCTGCAGAGACCTCGGGTTATTGTAGTAACTATAAGAGGGTGTGTGTGTGTGTGTGTGTGTGTGTGTGTGTGTGTGTGTGTGTGTGTGTGTGTGAGTGAGAGAGAGAGAGAGAGAGAGAGAGAGAGCGTTTGTGTATCCTCCTGAGTGTCCAGCCTTCACATTGCTCTCTGTAAACACTGCACCTCACTGATATCTTCTCAGATTTTTTACACCTGTGTGTGTGTGTGTGTGTGTGTGTGGTGTGTGTGTGTGTGTGTGTGTGTGTGTGTGTGTGGTGTGTCTTTGTCTCTGTGCTCCTGCTGCTGTCTCTGAGAGGCTTACATCCGTTATGTAATGTTGGAGCGGTGCAGCGGTTTGGCTGAGCTGCTCTCTGAGCTCCACCTGAACACTCAGCCTCCTCCCATACGACTCTGTAGTAATGTGATGTATTAAAGGTGTAGTAATGTAGTGCTGCTGCAGCCACGTAGTGATGTGCAGCTGGGCGGGACATACTCAAGTTGCTCCAGCTGCTTTGTTTGCGGTGTGAATGTGTATGAATGGATGAGTTAATACTGATGGACTCTTTACTCAGCAGCCTCTACCATCAGTGTAGGTTATGGTTAAGTCTGCTGCAGAAAATAAGTAGTGATCATCATGTTTACAGAACAGTCCTGTTAGTCCTGAGTCCTTGTTGTTGTTGTTGTCCTGTTGATGTTTCTGCAGCCCAACTATGAGAGAATAAACAGATATGGAGTAAAACGACTGTTTGGGCTCACACACAGAGAGGGAGAGAGGACTGTTTTTTTAAACTCCAGCAGCTCACAGATGAATTAAACGTTCATTGATCCTCTCGTTAGTGAAGATGATGCTAATCCTCTGTGAACATAACGAGAGAGATGTTCTGCTGCTCCCCTCATGCACACCTCTACTCTGAACTACAGTCCTCCTGCAAACTTTCATCACCTGTGGTGGTGTTGGTGGTGTGTTGTTGTTGGTGGTGTTGTTGTTGTGCTTTAAACGTCCTGGAAACATGAAAGATTATTTATAAACAAGCGTGAGTGTTACAAAACACAAATGGTGTGTGAGGTTTTTTTATTCCCAGGACAGAGACAAAGACGAGAGAGGAGGAGAAGAAACAGAAACAGAGAGAGGAGAAGAAACAGAGAGAGGAGAGAGGAGAAGAAACAGAGGAGGAGAAACAGAGAGGAGGAGAAACAGAGAGGAGGAGAAGAAACAGAGAGAGGAGGAGAGAGGAGGAGAAACAGAGAGGAGGAGAGAGGAGGAGAGAGGAGAAGACACAGAGAGAGGAGGAGAAGAAACAGAGAGAGGAGGAGAAGAAACAGAAACAGAGAGAGGAGGAGAGAGGTTTGGTTTTCAAAATACCTTTTATTTTACCACTACCTGGAGAAAATTATAACACTGTCACATCATCACTCAGATCAAGAGAAGGAAATAAATAAATAAAACATAAAACAAAACAAGTGCAAAAAAAAATCACAACATCAACAAAAACAACATTTACTGCATCAAAAATGAATAATCAGCTCTCCATCCCCACCCACAGAGCACAAAGCTTCTTCCACAGCCCATACACTATTAAAGTCTTGCACATTGTCCATCATTTGATAATAGGCAAATTCTACCTTCAGTCTGGCCTTCAAAAGTCCCTCCAGAACCAGCACCGGTTCCACACAGCCAGTACCCTGAGCTCGGTTCTTGCGTGTAAGCCAAATGGCCAACTTAGCCGAGCCAGATAAAAAGTTCATCAGTGTATGTACAGTCTTTTTCTTTGCAGAATACTTTGGCCCAAAAACAAACAATGCATAAGAGAAATCCTCCCCGAGAGCTTCAAACAAGCTTTTCATAAGGACAAACAAGAGTGAGAGCCTGGGACACTCAACAAACAGATGAGACAAAGTTTCAGTTAGTGAACAAAACAAACACTCCTCTCCCACCCCTGGATCAATGTGCGCTCTGTATCTGTTCGTGGCTATAACCCCATGCACAACTCTCCACTGGAGATCTGCTGTTCTCTTCTCAACAGGCAGCTTGTACAGGGACCGCCAGCTGCCTTTCGGGGAAACCTCCGGGCCAAAAAACTCGATCCACCTCGACTCTTTCACTCCCGACAGACCACGAAGATGTAGGACCTTAACACAGGACTGATAGAGTGCCTTTTTCCCTGCATCCTGGAACTTTCCCAGAACAGGAGTACTAAAGGACAGCAGTCCACCTCCTCTTTCCTGCCACTCCCCGACATCTGGGGTAACAGACAAAGATGGGAAGCTGTATTCGCCCTCTTCACTCCACTGCTCACACAGATTCTCAATGTTTAGAAATGTCACAAGTTTTACTGGAAGTGCAGCAAAGACTTCCTCCACCACTCTTTCAACCACCCGGCTGGAGGTGATATTGGTCCTTTCTTTGAGGGCGTCCAGGGTCAGTCTTACCAGGTGACCCAGTTTTGTGCAGCCTGCCTCTCTGAAACTGGCCCGGAGACTGGCTGACTGCAAAGTTGGAGTCCTTATGAAATCATTAAAAAATAACGGTTCCTCAAAGATCCACATTCCCAGACTCTCAGTTTTTTCCCTTTTGAATGTGTACATTTTCCATGCCTGCATTACAGACATATAAAAGGATGTTAATCCAGTGAGATCCACCTCCTCAAGCTTTAACAGAAAGAGCTGCTTAGTGTACCCCAGCCGTCCAGCTCTCCTCAGCAGCAGTCGAGCGATGTCCATCCAGCTGGGACCACAAGTGAAAAGGAGTCTCTGTGCAGTCTGGAGTCTGAATGAGGCAATTTTTGACTGAATGTCTATAAGTCCATGTCCCCCTTCAGCCACCGGCAGGTAGAGGACTGCCGCCTGGACCCAGTGTTTGCCTGACCAGAAGAAGTCCAGGATGGCCCTTTGAATGTCCTCCACCAGCCCTCTTGGAGGTGTCAAAGCCACAAGTCTGTGCCAGAGAGTCGAGGCAACCAAGTTATTGACCACCAGAACTCTTCCCCTATACGACAACTGGGGTAGCAACCATTTCCATTTAGACAACCGAGCGCACACTTTCTCCCTAACTCCCTCCCAGTTTTTACTTTTAAAGCCCTCGGTACCCAAATAAACCCCAACACCTTCAACCCCTCCCTCCCCCACTCAAGTCCACCCGGCAGACTGGGCACTGCCTGGTCCCTCCACTCTCCCACCAGTAAGGCACCACTTTTTTCCCAGTTCACCCGTGCAGCTGTTGCCCTTTCATACAGGGACAGGGTGTCCCGCAGACACCGAACGTCCCCCTGATTGGAGATGAAGATGTTTACATCATCAGCATAGGCAGAAATTGTAGGGGGACATTCAATGCTACAGGCCGCGGGCAAAGAAAGCCCGCTGAGCCGGTCCCTCAACCTGCACAGCAAGGGCTCAATAGCCAAGCTGTACAGCTGGCCGGAGATGGGACAACCTTGTCTGATCCCTCGCCGTACAGGGATTGGCCGACTCAACCCCGCCCCCATCTTCACCAAACACTGTGCATCCTGATACAACAAACCAACTAATGACACAAAACCATCCCCAAAACCAAAAGACCTCAGTGCAGAAAACAAATACGAGTGATCCACCCTGTCAAACGCCTTCTCTTGATCCAGAGACACAATGCCAACATTTAGATTATAGATTTTACACACATCAATGACATCTCTGATAAGAAAAACATTATCCATGATTGTCCGGTCTGGAACACAGTAACTCTGGTCTTTATGGACCACACTTCCCAGAACGTCCTTTAGTCTGTTCGATAAAGCTCTGGAGAGGATCTTGTAGTCCGCACAAAGCAAAGCAACCGGCCTCCAGTTTTTTAACAATGCCAGGTCACCTTTCTTGGGAGCAAGGAAAGAACTGCTCTCTTACAAGAACCAGGAAGAGACCCGGTCCTGCAACACTCCATTAAAACACTATGCAGGTCAGACCCAAGATATTCCAGAACCTCTTAAAAAAGTCTGTGGACAACCCATCTATTCCAGGTGCTCTTCCTGTTGCCATCTGAGTGACAGCAGCAGTGAGCTCCTCCAGAGACAGCTCCCCTTCCAGAAGAGACCTCTCCTCCACACTGAGCTGAGGGAGACCCTCCAGGAGCTCCCTGCGACACTCCTGGCTGCAACTCTCTGCTCCAAACAGATCCTCATAGAACTGCATGGCGTGACTGCTCATTTCCTTTGGATCAGCTGTTATTCGACCTCCTGGCAGTTTCAGACAAGTCAGCAGCTTTTTTTGAGCCACAGATCTCTCAAGATTGAAAAAGAAAGACGTTGGGGCATCCATGTCTTTGAGTTGAAGGAAACGACTCCGCACAAGAGCTCCCTTCACCCTCTCCTGCAGGAAAGAGCTCAACTCCATACGTTTCTCCTTCAGCAGGGTACCAGTGGTGGGATCCACACTCCCATTTAACCCCTCCTCAAGGTTCTTAATGTTGTCCTCAAGATTTTTAATGACTGTTTTTAATCTAGCAGAAGAGTGTGACGTGTACTGCTGACAAAAAACACGAATCTGAGCTTTACCAACCTCCCACCAAAGCTTCAAAGAATCAAACTCAACTTTTCTTAATTGCCACTGATCCCAAAAACACCCAAAGTTTTTACAGAAAACATTGTCCAGTAGAAGCTTGTTATTAAAATGCCAGAAGGACTTAGCCCTTTCACCTGGTGAAATAATCAGCTCCACACTAACAAAATGGTGATCAGTGAAGCCGACAGGCAGAATATTACAATGAATTAATCTGGGGTTGAGAGTTCTGGAGATGTAAACCCTGTCCAGTCTAGCTGCACACACCCTGTTACTGTTAACCCTGACCCATGTATACTGTCTGGATTGTGGATGTTTCACTCTAAATGTGTCCAACAAATCCAGGTGAGAGATGACAGTGTTTAAAGTCTGGGATGAATGTGGATGTGGCTCCTCTCCTATTCTATCCACGGTGAAATCAAGTGTGCAGTTAAAATCACCACCAAGAATGATCTGATCCTGATTATAGATCAGTAACTCCTTTTGGAGGCGGGTATAGAAAGCTACCCTTTCAGCTCCATTATTTGGAGCATAAATATTAGTGAAGCAGAAAACAGTGTCCTCTATTTCTGCTCTTACAATTAAAAGCCTTCCCTTTACAATTTCAGCACAAGAGACGATCTTTACATTTGCAGATGCTCTAAACAAAATGGCTACTCCTGCACTAAAGTTGGTGCCATGGCTAAGGTAGTTAGAGCCCTCCCACCATAAACCCCAATCTGTCTCATCTGATGGTGTGGTATGAGTCTCTTGTAAAAACAAGATATCAATGTTTTTCTGAGTTGAGATCTCAGAGATAAGGCCCCTTTTCTGTCTGTCTCTCCCACCATTAATGTTAAGAGATCCTATCTTAAGACTCCTCATAGAAAGATCAGAGAGAAAGAACAGACAAGTAGACACAAACAGGGAGCAGTAGAAGAAGAAAAACACCTTGTGATGCATGATCATTTCTTTGTCTTCTTCACACTCTTACGTCCAACTTTCCTCAGTGCGGTGATGTGCTTTTTAAGACGGAACCGTTTTTTTGCGTCCAGGAGGTCAAACCCAACCTGTCTTTTCAGTATGCTGACTGACTTTATGAACTTTTCAGTATCACTAAAGTAGTCACTGATTTTTACTGATTTGTTGTACGTTTCATCCATAAATTGATTGATTGACTCTAAAGAATAAAGACCAGAGCCACTATTTGGCAAATCAGCAATGGATGCATTGTCTGACTCATAATCTTCATCCATGTCCTCTCCTTCACATGATGCCTGGCTACAACACACTGTCTTACCTTCCTTCAATGAAACATCTACAACTGCAGAACTTGTGGAATCTTCAGTTTTATCATTATCTACAGTCTGTGATTTTTCTGTAGCCTGAGAGCTGGTCGAAGCCACCTCTACCTCAGCCACGGCCTCAGCACAAGGCGCAGGCGCGGACAGAGAGAGGAGGAGAAGAAACAGAGAGAGGAGGAGAAGAAACAGAAACAGAGAGAGGAGGAGAGGAAACAGAAACAGAAAGAGGAGGAGAGAGGAGGAGAAGAAGCAGAGAGAGGAGGAGAAGAAACAGAGAGAGGAGGAGAGAGAAGACAGAGAGAGGAAGAGAGAGGAGACACAGAGAGAGGAGGAGAGAGGAGAAGACACAGAGAGAGGAGGAGAAGAAACAGAGAGAGGAGGAGAGGAAACAGAAACAGAAAGAGGAGGAGAGAGGAGGAGAGAGGAGAAGACACAGAGAGAGGAGGAGAAGAAACAGAAACAGAGAGAGGAGGAGAGGAAACAGAAACAGAGAGAGGAGGAGAGAGGAGAGAGAGAGAAGACACAGAGAGAGGAGGAGAGAGAAGACAGAGAGAGGAGGAGAGAGGAGACACAGAGAGAGGAGGAGAGAGAAGAAGACACAGAGAGAGGAGGAGAAGAAACAGAAACAGAGAGAGGAGGAGAGGAAACAGAAACAGAAAGAGGAGGAGAGAGGAGGAGAAGAAGCAGAGAGAGAGAGAGGAGGAAATTCAGAGAGAAAGAAGGAGACGAGATGAAAGGATGAAGCGGTGAGTGTGTGATAAAAGCAGCTGTCTCATTATAATAATCATGTCTCGTTAAAGAAACATGGCCGCTGCTCTGCTGAGAACCAAAGAAGAGAGACAGAGAACGACAGAGACAATACACCTGGAACTGACTGCATACTGATTCTACTGGTTCCACTGGTTCTGCTGGTTCTACTGGTTCTCCTGGTTCTACTGGTTCCACTGGTTCTCCTGGTTCTACTGGTTCCCCTGTTTCTACTGGTTCAACGGGTTCTCCTGGTTCCACTGGTTCTCCTGGTTTTGCTGGTTCCACTGGTTCTCCTGGTTTTGCTGGTTCCACTGGTTCTCCTGGTTCTCCTGGTTCTCCTGGTTCCACTGGTTCTGCTGGTTCCTAGTCGACCATGACTTCTTTGCTGATAGACAGTTTGCAGTTGTCTGTTTCTTTTCCTGAACTTCCCCACTAGGAATCAATAAAGTAGAATCAGCTTTAGATGCGCCCTCTGGTGGACACTGCAGAAACTGCAGTTTTAGTAAATTTCATGTTACTGTTGCTGCTGGTTTGTAAAAATCTAAACTAATGTTTGTGTGTGTATGAATGATGCTGTTATTCACTCTCTTCTCATGTATTGATGGTGCAGAGTCTTTAACTTTTCATTCTAATATCAGAACATGTTTGTGTCTCTGCCTGCAGGTGATTTATGCTTTGAACACAAAGAACGACGAGCACGAGGAGGAGATCGAGTCTCTGAAAGACGCTCATGAGGACGAGGTAAACCCCCCCCCCCCAAATATGCAGACGGCAGAGACGCACACACACAATCCTGAAGAGGTTCATACATGCTGACTTATTGTTTAAGTCCATAGTTTTCAGAACAATTCTCCTCAAACAGCTGACAGGTGTGAGGCTCTTTAACTCACCTATGGGGGGGGGGGGGGGGGGGGGTCACACTGATGGTAGAGGCTGCTGTGTGTGTCACCATCGCAGGGCTGCTTCAAAAAACTGCACAGAAGAAAAAGTGCAGTTGACAGTTGCTTAATTTTTTCATGAAAATGTTCAGCTTTTTTGAGGCTGAAAACAGAGAGGAGCTGTGAGTTAGCACGAGCTGTTCATTTCATCAGTGCTTCTTTCAGGCGTTCAGAGTGGGGTCTTCACTGAGACGGTTTGTGTGCCCGTTCAGGTCCAACACATCGTGACAGAAACCAGAGACAAGATCATGCAGTACAAGAGCAAGATGGTGGACGAGGCCGACCTGAGGCGGAGGCTGGCCAGTCTGGAGGAGTCTGTGGAGCTGCACGAGCACATGAAAAGACAGGTGAGGACTGCAGGGGGCGACGTCACTTTTACAGTGACATCATCAGCCTGCTGTTGTGTTCATGTCGATGTTGTAAATAAAGTGTCATTGAAGTGTTTGATAATGATCGTGTTGCGTTCAGGCGCTGGCAGAGTTCGAGATGTACCGTCAGAGGATGGAGGACTCTCAGCTCTGCACGGAGGCTCAACACACACAGAGGGTGGTGTCTATGAGCAGAGAGGTGAGACACACACACACACACACACACACACACACACACACACACACACACACTCACACACACACACACACACACACTCACACACACACACACACACACACACACACACACACACACACACACACACATAAAGATGGTGCTGTGTTTAGGTGGAGGAGATGCGTCGGGACTTTGAGGAGAAACTGCGCTCCTTCAGCTCGGCCCAGGCTCACTTCGAGGCGGAGAAGCGGCGGGCGCTGGAGGAGATGCGGATGACGCACCGTCAGGAGGTGGAGGAGCTCCTCAACAACCAGCAGAACCAGAGCGCCTCCTCCACAGAGGACCAGGAGAAGCTGGCCGAGCTGCACCGTCAGGAGGTGGGGGGGTCACACAACTTTTTTTCCATATCCATTCTGTTTTTTCAGATTCCCACCCTCTGGATGTGTTGTTACTCTCAGGTGGAGGCCCTGATGGAGCGGGTGGAGGAGCTGACGAAGGATAAAGTGCGCCTGGTGGAGGAGTTTGAGGCCAAACTGGCAAAGGCTCAGGAGTACTACGAGAGGGAGCTGGAGGCCATGAGGAGGACTCACCAGCTCACCACCGAGAACCTGCTGGCCTGGAAGAGGACAGAGGTGGGGACACACATACACACTCACCTGTTGGTGTACAGTGGTGTCTCATAGTGATGATGTCACGGTTTATCTGTGTACAGGTGGAGCTGCGTAAAGAGTTCCAGGCTCAGGAAGCGGCCTTGCAGCGCTCGCTGTCCAAACTGAGGAGCGAGCTGCAGAAAGCGCAGGAGGAGGCGAGAGAGAACCGGGACAAGACCAACCGACTGCAGACGTCGCTCGCCAACGCAGAGGGCACCATCAAGGTCAGTGTGCGTGTGCGTGTGCGTGTGCGTGTGCGTGTGTGTGTGTTCTTGTTTTTATATCCTGGTGGGGACTCAGTGTGTGTGTCTGTTTGTCCACGTGTGTGTCTGTGTGTGTGTTCTTGTTTTTATATCCTGGTGGGGACTTGTGTGTGTGTGTGTGTGTGTGTGTGTGTGTGTGTGTGTGTGTGTGTCCGTGTGTGTGTGTGTGTGATAAGCTTTGTTCAACAAACTTTTCAAAGTTGCAGAAAAAACATTCTCAGAGATTTCAGAAGTCCTGCAGGAAGATCTGTAAAGGGTGCATGTGTTTATGTGTGAATATATGTGTGTGTGTGTGTGTGTGTGTGTGTGTGTGTGTAGAACCTGCACAAGCAGCTGGAGGAGGCGATCCAGGACGGGGAGATCTGGGTGATGCAGCTGAAGGACACAGAGTATGAGCTGGAGGGCAGCAGAGAGAGAGTCCAGCAGCAGGCCACAGAGATCCTGCACAAAGCCAGTGAGACACTCTTCTTCTTCTACTCTTTTAATGACTGTAGACTCTAACACATCTTACACATCTGTTTGTATATTTCAAACATATTGGAGCGGCAGTAGCTCTGTCTGTAGGGACTTGGGTTGGGGACTGGAGGGCCGCCGGTTCAAGTCCCGGTGCGGACCAAGTATGGAAGTTGGTCTGGTAGCTGGAGAGGTGCCAGATCACCTTCTGAGCACTGCCGAGGTGCCCTTGAGCAAGGCACCAAACCCCCTCCCCAGGAGTGCCCGCTGTGGGCCCCTAGTCACTCTGACATCTCTCCATTAGTCCATGTCCATAGGCTCCTGTTTGTGTGCATGTGTGTGTATACTTCAGCCTGTGTGTGTGTGTTGCATGACTACAGAGTGTAAACACTGAAATTTTTCAATCAATAGAAGTAAAGTTTCTGTAAAGTCTTACAGGTGTGTTTGTGCTCTGACTGTTCCCAGGTCAGATCGGCTCGCTGCAGGCCACTCAGATGTCCCACGAGGCCACCATCAGGAACCTGGACCAGGAGCAGAACCGCCTGAAGGAGAAGATCGGCCGCCTGGAGGAGGAGAGGGAGGTGCTGCTGAATCAGAGCCAGTCAGCCAATGAGCAGCACAGACAGACCGTGTTGAACCTGGAGCAGGTAACTGAGTCTGAGTAGCTGAAGAAGTCTACACTGGTACCTGTCTGGGGTCAGCCCGAGGTCATGACTCCTCTTTCCCCCGTTTCTCCCCCTCAGTCTCTGCGGGAGGAGCACCAGGGTTACGAGAAAGAGCTGTGCAGGCTCCGAGCTCACTACGAGGAGGAGGCGCACCGCTTCAAGGAGGCGCAGGTCAGAGCTCTGGGCGAGCTGGAGGAGAAACACCAGTCCCTGAGGGAGGAGGCGCAGCAGGAGAAGGAGGAGGAGAAGGAGCTGCTCGTGGCGGTGAGTCCGCATGTAGTCCTGAGGTCAGATCCTCTAAGGAGAGTCTGTGTTCTGTTTCCTGTTGTTTTTTTTCCACTAAAGTGCCGTCACTAAGCTCCGCCTCCCCCCAGTCTGTGAGGTCACAGACTGGAGCTCCAGCATCTAATCATCCATTTATAGATTAGAGTTCAACATGTTCTTTCTGATCTGAGGTCAGCTGCGTTGTTGTCGTTGTTGTTGTTGTTGTTGTTGTGGCACTGGATGTGTGTGCAGCCGCCCGTGCATCATGCCGCTCTTTAAAGGGCCGTCTGTTCTCGATTAGTTCTGTCTGAAGGCAGCAGAGAGAGGCTGACCTACTAACACAACACGCTTCAGAGTCAACGCTGCAGCATTCTCTCACTAAACGTCTACACTCTGCTCGTCCGCCCGTTGTCCTGCTCTGTTTCTCTCCTCCAGGGTCGTCATGACAACAGATTTTTAAACTTTGATATGATTCTATAAAAGATCAGAACAAACAGGCTGAGCTTTAGAAGCTTTAAATAAAGTCCCATCAGAGCTCCAGGCCTGCTGAACATGTTCGAGTCCTGCAGAGGAGAGCTGTGAGCAAGCAGGGTCGTCATGGCAACAGATGATATGCAATATTGTTAGAGGAGGAGGAGGAGGAGGAGAGAGAAGGAAGAAGAGGAGGAGGAGGAGAGAGGAGGAAGAAGAGAAGGAGGAGGAGAGAGGAGGAGAAAGGAGGAAGAAGAGGAGGAGAAGGAGAGAGGAGGAAGAAGAAGAGAAGGAGGAGCTGAGGAGAGTAGAGGACCCAGTGGAGGAGGAGGAGCAGGAACTGAGTAGATGGAGGAAGAAAGGATTTGTTGTGTGTGGTGTGGGGGATTATGGGTAATGGTCTTTTTGAGGAGATGGCCTTTTAAAAAAGACGCCTCACATATTCCTGAGGCGCTCGTCCACAAGCACGCACGCACACACATACTATACACACAGATTATATACAGAGAGGAGGAGGAGGAGGAGGTGTGGGTCACACACTCATCATTTCTCCTTCTCATATAAAATCTGTAGTTTCTAAATATTTGTTTGAATAAATGAACCTCTGTTCTGGTTTTTGTTTCTTCCTCCTCCTCTTCCTCCTCTGTCCTTCCTCTTTTTACTTTTGTCTCTCTGTCTCCTCCTCCTACTCTTTCTGTCTCCTCCTCCTCCTCTTACTCTCCCTGTCTCCTCCTCCTTCTCCTCCTCCTCTTACTCTCTCTGTCTCCTCCTCTTACTCTCTCTGTCTCCTCCTCCTCCTCCTCTTACGCTCTCTGTCTCCTCCTCCTCCTCCTCTTACTCTCTCTGTCTCCTTCTCCTCCTCTTACTCTCTCTCTGTCTCCTCCTCCTCCTCTTACTCTCTCTGTCTCCTTCTCCTCCTCTTACTCTCTCTCTGTCTCCTCCTCCTCCTCTTACTCTCTCTGTCTCCTTCTCCTCCTCTTACTCTCTCTCTGTCTCCTCCTCCTCCTCTTACTCTCTCTGTCTCCTCCTCCTCTTACTCTCTCTGTCTCCTCCTCTTACTCTCTCTGTCTCCTCCTCCTCCTCTTACTGTCTCTGTCTCCTCCTCCTCTTACTCTCTCTGTCTCCTCCTCCTCTTACTCTCTCTGTCTCCTCCTCCTCCTCCTCTTACTCTCTCTGTCTCCTCCTCCTCCTCTTACTCTTTCTGTCTCCTCCTCCTCTTACTGTTTCTGTCTCCTCCTCCTCCTCTTACTCTCTCTGTCTCCTCCTCCTCCTCCTCTTACTCTCTCTGTCTCCTCCTCTTACTCTCTCTGTCTCCTCCTCCTCCTCTTACTCTCTCTGTCTCCTCCTCCTCCTCCTCTTACTGTCTCTGTCTCTTCCTCCTCCTCCCTCCTGTAGAAACTGTCTCAGGAGTTTGAGATCAAGCGTCTGTCATTGGAGGAGCAGAGGGACCGCCTGCAGCAGCAGCTCGATAACCTGAAGGAGGAGCTCTCAGCCAAACTCAACATGGCTAATCAGGAGGTAGGACCCTTAATGCATCACTCAGCATCCTCATCCAGGCCCAGGACCACCATGTTGACCCTCTTCTTACCTCTGCTCCTTTCCACAGGTGTCTCACCTCCAGGAGCTGGTGAGGGAGGGGGAGCAGAACATGGGCTCAGCTCAGACGCAGATCTCCTGTCTGAAGGAGACGCAGGAGAAACTGAGGACGGAGCTGGACGCTACCAGATCCAGAGTCCGAGAGACAAGTAACCTGCTGACCGACCTTCAGGTAAGAATCAGGGTTTACTTACACACAGCCTGCAGGTAAGAATCAGGGTTTACTTATACAAAATGCCTGCAGGTAAGAATAAGGGTTTACTTATACAAACAGCCTGCAGGTAAGACTCAGGGTTTACTGACCTACAGGTAAGACTCAGGGTTTACTGACCTGTAGGTAAGAATCAGGGTTTACTTATACAAATAGCCTGCAGGTAAGAATCAGGGTTTACTCATACAAATAATCTGCAGGTAAGAATCAGGGTTTACTTACACAAACAGCCTGCAGGTAAGAATCAGGGTTTACTTATACAAATAGCCTGCAGGTAAGAATCAGGGTTTACTTATACAAACAGCCTGCAGGTAAGAATCAGGGTTTACTTATACAAAATGCCTGCAGGTAAGAATCAGGGTTTACTTATACAAACAGCCTGCAGGTAAGACTCAGGGTTTACTGACCTACAGGTAAGACTCAGGGTTTACTGACCTGTAGGTAAGAATCAGGGTTTACTTATACAATATAGCCTGCAGGTAAGAATCAGGGTTTACTCATACAAATAACCTGCAGATAAGAATCAGGGTTTACTTACACAAACAGCCTGCAGGTAAGAATCAGGGTTTACTTATACAAATAGCCTGCAGGTAAGAATCAGGGTTTACTTACACAAACAGCCTGCAGGTAAGAATCAGGGTTTACTTATACAAAATGCCTGCAGGTAAGAATCAGGGTTTACTTATACAAACAGCCTGCAGGTAAGACTCAGGGTTTACTGACCTACAGGTAAGACTCAGGGTTTACTGACCTGTAGGTAAGAATCAGGGTTTACTTATACAATATAGCCTGCAGGTAAGAATCAGGGTTTACTCATACAAATAACCTGCAGATAAGAATCAGGGTTTACTTACACAAACAGCCTGCAGGTAAGAATCAGGGTTTAGTTATACAAATAGCCTGCAGGTAAGAATCAGGGTTTACTTATACAAAATGCCTGCAGGTAAGAATCAGGGTTTACTTATACAAACAGCCTGCAGGTAAGACTCAGGGTTTACTGACCTACAGGTAAGACTCAGGGTTTACTGACCTGTAGGTAAGAATCAGGGTTTACTTATACAAATAGCCTGCAGGTAAGAATCAGGGTTTACTCATACAAATAATCTGCAGGTAAGAATCAGGGTTTACTTACACAAACAGCCTGCAGGTAAGAATCAGGGTTTACTTATACAAATAGCCTGCAGGTAAGAATCAGGGTTTACTTATACAAACAGCCTGCAGGTAAGAATCAGGGTTTGCTTGTACAAACATCCTGCAATGTAAGAATCAGGGTTTACTGACCTGCAGGTAAGAACCAGATAAAGACATCACGGGTACTGATCATCACTCATACAGAGGGATGACATCCATCTGATCGGCCAATCATAGCTCTCCATAGGAAGTCAGAGTAAAAAGAGTGAAACAAAGAGGAAGTGACCGGAGAGAGGAAGGAAGGATGGAAGGAAGGAGTGAGGAAAGGACATTTAAGGAAGCAGGAAGAGAGAAAAACATTCAGTCAAAGGAACAGCTGTGAGATACACATGATGAAGAGGAGTGTGTGTGTGTGTGTGTGTGTGTGTGTGTGTGTGTGTGTGTGTGTGTGTGTGTGTGTGTGTGTGTGTGTGTGTGTGTGTGTGTGTGTAGGTGTGTGTGTGTAGGTGTGTGCGTGTAGGTGTGTGCGTGTGTGTGTTAATATTTTAATTATCAGTGTAATTGATTTATGAAATAGTTGTTTGTAACATGGAGTCACTGCAGCATCAAAATAAAAAATAAATACAAAAAAACAGACGTAAAATAACACACACACACACATACACACACACACACACACACACACAGCTGAGTCACAGTCCCAGCTGGTGTAAAGAGAATAATGTGATGTAATGGAGACAGGGAGCAGTAATAACAGAGACAGAGACGAGGGGTAATTAGATGAAGCTCTGCGCAGCACTAAAATAACTCAAGAAGAAATGACACTGTTAAAAAAAGAGTGGTTGAATAATGTCCCAGCTGACTCCAGCTGTCATTCACTCCTGAACGCTGACGAGCAAAGATACATAAAAAATAACTAAAATCCATTTGGTTATTTTAATTTGATACGGACAGTAATAATTTTGCAACATTTTTGTAATTAAAGTTTTTTTATTTTTTATTATTATAGTTTACTTTTTCACCCCTTATTTTATAAATGTGTCTATATGTGCATGTGTATATCTTTTTTTTTTTTTCTTCTTTCCTTAGAATTTATTTAATTGTAATTGTGCATCCTGGAAAAATGTTTAAAACATATTGTTTAAAAAAAAAGAAAAGAAAAAAAAAGCAGCAGAGGATTGTGGGTAAAATGTGTGCTTTGCGTTTGAAGGAGGAGATCGAGACGCAGAGGCAGCAGCACGACGCCAGAGTCATGTCCATCAGAACGGAGGAGAAGCAGAAGATGGACAAGATGGCCGACGACCTGGACCAGAAGTGGAGAGACGCTCTGAGGTGAGAACCTGACTCTGTCCTCCTCTTCAGGACTACAGAGCAGGTGGGATAACCTGTGTGACCTCCTCCTCCTCGGTGTGCAGGGAGGAGGTGCGTCTGCTGAAGGAGGAGCTGACGGAGGAGTACGAGGCAGACAAACAGGCGGCGCTCAATCAGCTGTCTCAGCAGAGGGAGCTGGAGGTGATGGCGGCCCGGGAGAACTGGCAGAGGAAGGTGGAGGACCTGCTGGAACAGGTGAGAGCTGTCTCCTCACTGTGACGCCCCCTGCTGGTTCATCTGCAGATTTTAAGTCAGGTCCAATCTCTCTGGTCCAGTCTCTTAGGTCCAGTCTTTCAGGTCCAGTCTTTCAGGTCCAGTCTTTCAGGTCCAGTCTCTCTGGTCCAGTCTCTCAGGTCCAGTCTTTCAGGTCCAGTCTCTCAGGTCCAGTCTCTCAGGTCCAGTCGTTCAGGTCCAGTCGTTCAGGTCCAGTCTCTTAGCTCCAGTCGTTCAGGTCCATTCTCTCAGGTCCAGTCTCTCAGGTCCAGTCTCTCAGGTCCAGTCGTTCAGGTCCAGTCTTTCAGGTCCAGTCTCTCAGGTCCAATCTCTCAGGTCCAGTCTTTCAGGTCCAGTCGTTCAGGTCCAGTCTCTCAGGTCCAGTCTCTCAGGTCCAGTCTTTCAGGTCCAGTCTCTCAGGTCCAGTCTCTCAGGTCCAGTCGTTCAGGTCCAGTCTCTCAGGTCCAGTCTCTCAGGTCCAGTCTTTCAGGTCCAGTCTCTCAGGTCCAGTCTCTCAGGTCCAGTCTCTCAGGTCCAGTCTCTCAGGTCCAGTCTTTCAGGTCCAGTCTCTCAGGTCCAGTCTCTCAGGTCCAGTCGTTCAGGTCCAGTCTCTCAGGTCCAGTCTCTCAGGTCCAGTCTCTCAGGTCCAGACGTTCAGGTCCAGCCTGTGTGCGTGTCTCTGTGTGTGGGTTTATGCTCCGGGCCTCGTGGTGAACCAGAGCTGTCAATCAGCGTGACTCCACAGAGGAGATGTAGGTTAAGGACCAGGATGTGACCGTCTGATATAAAATGATTCTCACTTTTTGTCCTCCATGTTGAATTTAAGTTTCTATTTTTAACGGACAAATTTTAGAAAAAATCGTCACCATTGAAGGCATGAGAAACGATGACTCAGCAGTCATAACATAACATTCAGTCTACATAACACACACACACACACACACACACACACACACACACACACACACACACACACACACACACACACACACACACACACACACACTGCAGGTCATGGTGTGTGTATCTGCTGTCAGAATAGCACACACAGAGTTAACACAAACAGCTGTCAAAGTGACAACACACACTCTTATATAACCCGTCAGCTGTCAGAGATGGAAATAAATATAAACACTGAGAAAACACGACTTCCTGTCTATATACACCTCCAGGGAAAGACTTTTATTTTGAGAGCTGCTGCTTTTTTTTATTTTTTTCTAGAAAAGGACTTTTATTCTGAAGGTTCTTCTGTGAGGATGAGGATGTAGCTCTGAGCTGTTTCCTCCTCATGTTAGAGTCTAAAGAGGAGCAGAGGAGGATGTTCTGCACAGGTCACATCCTCATCCTCTGCTTTAAATCCCTCTTACCTTGCTCTCCCTGATGTAGTCCTCCTAAAGCTGTAAATCCTGAAGAGGATTTAATCTGCTGCAGCCAGAGGAGGAGGAGGAGGAATGTGAGGAGGTCCAGAGAGTTCAGTCAGACCTCTGAGGGTTTAAGGATGGGGGGTTCTCTCTCTCTCTCGCTCTCTGTTTAATGCTGAGACACTGTGCAGGTTTGTGCTCTTTAAAATCACCACCAAATCTTAGGAGACAAAGGAATTCTGTGCTTGTTGCCGTGGTAACGAACAGGTATCAATATCATTTTATTTTAACATGAATCATATCAATGTTTACAAATACTCTGTTGTCATGACGACCTTGTTTGCATGTACAGAATGTAAACAAATAACCTAACTCTCAAAGTCTTATCACACAGCCAATCACATTCAGCGTTGAATCATATCAAGCTGTGCTCATTGGCTAAGAGTAGAACTGTGCATAAGGTCTGTTTCCTTTAGGTTTTCAGTTTCCTGCTGCACAACCTGTGTTAATCATTGATCCTCTGTGTGTGTGTGTGTGTGTGTGTGTGTGTGTGTTCAGATCTCTCTTCTCAAACAGTCTCTGGAGCTGCAGCTTTCTCAGTCTCAGTCGGCTCTGCAGCAGCTGCAGTCTCAGTTCAACCAGGAGAGGGAGCTGCTGAGCCAGCAGCTCAAAGGTGAGTTCTGTTACACGAACAGGTAAACATACTGTCATCATCACAGTTTGTAATGTTTGTGTGTGTGTGTGTGTGTGTGTGTGTGTGTGTGTGTGTGTGTGTGTGTGTGTGTGTGTGTGTGTGTGTGTGTGTGTGTGTGTGTGTGTGCGCAGAGATGCAGAGGGAGCACCAGAGGAGGGAGCACCGCCTGCAGGAGGCGCACTGCTGCGCTTTGAGCACTATGGAGGAGGCCCGACAGCACCAGATCAGGGTACGTACACACACACACACACACACACACACACACACACACACACACACACACACACACACACACACATAAACACAATACAGTTTTTTCCAATTGCTAAAACACAATTTTGCAAACTAGGCTGGTTTTATCAAAATACTTCACACAATTCACAAAACCACACACCCAAACTGCAAAATACATCATATATCCTGCAAAATGAAGCACTGCAACCAAAACTACATATAGCATTATCAAAATCAAACTTTTGCACCAAATAGCACACACTTCATTCATATTACCAGATTTTTGTCTAACCAACCACACACTGTTGGGCATAATGAAAAGCACTCTCATCTTTAGTATGCTTTACCATAATACTAACATAGTTTGAATTGTAGAAAATTCTCCAGATTGTTCACATGCACAGAAAAATTTGCAGATACACACACATGCTGTTGAAACATTTATTTTTTTATTTTTCACCAAACAAGTCTGTGAAACAGTTGGGCTGCACTCTCTGTCCAGCCTCTCACATTGTCAGCCCGTGGTTGATGACATGATCAACTAAGGTTGCTCTGATTTCATTTGAAAGTTGTTTTCTTCTTTGGCCATGAACTCCTCTACCAGCTCTACCCCTACCTCTCACTCTTCCTCCCCCTCTCATTATCACCCTCCCTCTTCCTCTCTCTGCAATGTCTTCCATTGTTGTTGTAAAAAAAAAAGGTGCTCACTTGTGGTCTTTTCAGAGTGCTTACTTCCTGATTGAAGTGGTAACAATTAACCATTGAGGTGTTTGGCCAGGTGGCACTTTGCCAGTGCATTTCAAAAGTGCCATTTTGAATTGCAAAATGTGTGTAAAGCAGAAAATGTGTTTAGACTTACATGTCTGCATGTCATTTTAGTGTGTTAGCGATTGGAAAAAACTGTAACCAATCAGAGGGACTGCAGCTGTGGCCTCACTCACCTGTCTTCACTCAGAGACTGAGCACACAGGTCAGAGGTCAGAGGTCAACATATACCCAGGTTATGTGTAGTAACCTCTCTCCCCCTCTTCCTCCTCTTCCTCCTCCTCTTCCCCCTCTTCCTCCCCCTCCTCCTCTTTCTCCCCCTTTCCCCTCCCCTCTCCTCCTCTTCCTCCTCTTCCCCTTTTCCTCCCCTCCTCCTCTTCCTCCTCTTCCTCCTCTTCCCCCTCTTCCTCCTCTTCCTCCTCCCCCCTCTTCCTCCCCCTCCTCCTCTTCCTCCCCCTCCCCTCTTCCTCCTCTTCCTCCTCCTCCTCCTCTTCCCCCTTTTCCTCCCCCTCCTCCTCTTCCTCCTCTTCCTCCTCTTCCCCCTTTCCTCCCCCTCCTCCTCTTCCTCCTCTTCCTCCCCCTCTTCCTCCTCCTCCTCTTCCTCCTCTTCGTCATCCTCCTCCTCTTCCTCCCCGTCAGGCCCTTGAGGAGCGTCTGAAGCAGGAACAGAGGGAGGAGGTCCACGCTCTGAAGGAGGCTCACAGGAGGACGTTTGACATCCTGAGGCAGCAGTCGGACCAGGAGCTGCAGACGCTCCGCTTCGAGCTGGAGGACGAGGGGAAGGCCAAACTGGGTGAAGAAGATCACACACACACACACACACACACACACACACACACACACACACACACACACACACCACACCAACACAAACACACACACACACACACACTAACACAAACACACACACACACACACACACACACACACACACACACACACACACACACACACACACAGAGGGGTTATCAGGCACATGAAAGACTTCTACTTCTTCTTCTTTGGTGGTTTTAAGCGAGACTAGAGGCTCATACATCACCTGCTCTCTCTCTCTCTCTCTCTCTCTCTCTCTCTCTCTCTCTCTCTCTCTCTCTCCTCTGTGCAGCGTCTCTGCGGGCAGAGCTCAACCACCTCCACGCCACGGCCATCGAGCACCTGAAGCAGATCCACCTGAAGGAGAACACATCGACCAAACGGGAGCTAGAGAAGGCCATGGAGCAGAGCCACCAGCAGGTAGGGAGGAGCTCCTCCCATCACCTGTTGGTTTCTATAATGATGACTCTGACACACTAACCCTAACCTCCTTCTACTCCTCCTCCTCCTGCTGGTCCTCCTCCTTCTCTTGGTCCTCCTCCTCCCCCTCCCCCTCCTGGTCCTCCTCCTCCTCCCCCTCCTGGTCCTCCTCCTCCTCCTGGTCCTCCTCCTCCCCTCCTCTTCCTCGTCCTCCTCATCCTCCTCCCCCTCCTGGTCCTTCTCCTCCTCCTCCTCCTGGTCCTCCTCCTCCTGGTCCTCCTCCTCCTCCTGGTCCTCCTCCCCCTCCTGGTCCTCCTCCTCCTCCTGGTCCTCCTCCTCCTCTTCCTGGTCCTCCTCCTCCTCCTCCTCCTCCTCCTATGGACCTCACAGGAGCAGGAGCTGCTCGTGCGGATCTCCGACCTGCAGGCCGAGCTGTGTTCCCGTAGCAACCGCATCACAGACCTGGACCACGAGATCCACTCCCTGAACGAGACCATCGACACGCTGACCAGGGAGCTGGAGCTGAAGGGCAAGGAGGTGCTGAGGGTCCGCAGCGAGGCCAACCACCAGATCAGGTAGGACGTCAACACCTGGGACGCCGACCACTGGGACCTTGTGTGTTATCTCTGACTCTGTGTGTGTGTGTGTGTGTGTGTGTGTGTGTGTGTGTGTGTGTGTGTGTGTGTGTTGCAGGGCCCACGAGCAGGACCTGACTAAGAGACACGAGCGAGACCTGGGGGAGATGAGCATCGTGCACCACAGAGAGACTCACATCATGTTAGCAGACTTTAACAAAGCCCAGGAGGTGCTGAAGGACAAGATCTCCGCTCTGCAGATACTGTGAGGATCAAACACACACACACACACACACACACACACACACACACACACACACACACATGGAGGGGGCAATCTGTGTGTTTCTATTATTCATGTGTGTGTGTGTGTGTGTGTGTGTGTGTGTGTGTGTGTGTGTGTGTGTGTGTGTGTGTGTGTGTGTGTGTGTGTGTGTGTGTGTGTGTGTGTGTGTGTGCAGGCTGGAGGGCACAGAGGAAAAACTGAGGAACCGAGAGAGCAGACCTGAAGATCTCCACCTGATCGCAGAGCTTAGAGAGATGGTGACAGAGAGAGAGGCTCTGGTGAAGAAACTGGTGGTGAGTAAGTGTGTGTGTGTGTGTGTGTGTGTGTGTGTGTGTGTGTGTGTGTGTGTGTGTGTGTGTGTGTGTGTGTGTGTGTGTGTGTGTCTCAACACGTTCTCTTCTCTCCAGGACGACAAAAAGTTCTACCAGCTGGAGCTGGTGAACAGAGAGACGGGCTTCAGCAAGGTGTTCAACTCCAGTGCCAACGTGGGCGTCATCAACCCTCTGATCAAGGTGAGTCACTCTGAGAGAGGCGGCGGAGCTTCAGGTGAGTGTCTGTGACATCGTCAGCAGAGTGTGCACACACTTCACAGAGGGATGAATGAAGACTATAACACTCCAAACATTATCTTCACTCTTTTACTTCACTCCTGCATTGGAGTCCTGCTCACACACACACACACACACACACACACACACACACACACACACACACACACACGCATGTATGCACACTATATATTCAGTTCTCACACGTTCCCCTGACTTGTGTTTTTGGAGAAAACTCACATGTTAGGATGCTCCATTTAAGCTTCATCACATCAGACAGTCACCCCTCCTCCTCCTGCTCCTCCTCTTCTTCCTCCTTCTCCTCCTCCTCCTCTTCCTCCTCCTCTTCCTCCTCCTCTACTTCCTCCTCCTCCTGCTCCTCCTCTTCCTCCTCCTGCTCCTCTGCATCTTAATGTGTTTGTCTGACTCATCTTCACTGTACTTTATTTTTTACCTTTTTCTTATTATTTTCAGTCTCGTGCATGATTTCCAAATTGGTCACTCTCTGATTGTCCAATCACAGCTCAGAGTAATAAAACTTACCTGTGTGCAGCTCTGTGTGTATCTGTAATGTTCAGCCTTGTGCACAGGGCTGCAGGAGGAGAGAATCTGCAGATAGAAAAATGTTTGGATGATTGTTTCTCTGTTTTTTTAAGATTGTGAGATTCTATATCTAAACATCAACATAATGAGTATAAATATTAAGAAGGAGGCCTCCTCGCACCTCCTCCCTCCTCCTCCTCCTCAGGGAGCCCTGCCTCTGCTCAGCATCCTCACCCTCTCTCTCTCCTCCTCCTCCTCCTCCTCCTCAGCACCCTCCTCCTCCTCCTCCTCCTTCTCCTCATCATCCTCATCATCCCATGCTTCCTCCTCCTTATGTTCCTCCTCCTCCTCATGCTCCTCCTCCTCCTCATGCTCCTCCTCAGGGAGTCCCGGTGCACGGCTGCAGGAGGTGAGACTGTCTGACTTCACCTCAGGTCGCCTGCAGGTCTGATGATTCAATGAGACGTGACCTGTCTGTCTGCATCCTCACCTGTCTGTCTGCTTCCTCACCTGTCTGTCTGCTTCCTCACCTGTCTGTCTGCATCTTCAACTGTCTGTCTGCATCCTCACCTGTCTGTCTGCTTCCTCAACTGTCTGTCTGCATCTTCAACTGTCTGTCTGCATCCTCACCTGTCTGTCTGCTTCCTCACCTGTCTGTCTGCATCCTCACCTGTCTGTCTGCATTTTCACCTGTCTATCTGCTTCCTCACCTGTCTGTCTGCATCTTCACCTGTCTGTCTGCATCTTCACCTGTCTGTCTGCATCCTCACCTGTCTGTCTGCATCTTCACCTGTCTGTCTGCATCCTCACCTGTCTGTCTGCATCCTCACCTGTCTGTCTGCTTCCTCACCTGTCTGTCTGCTTCCTCACCTGTCTGTCTGCTTACTCACCTGTCTGTCTGCATCCTCACCTGTCTGTCTGTCTGCCCACCTGTCTGTCTGCATCCTTACCTGTCTGTCTCCCCCTGAATGAAGAACAATAATTATTAAATAATAAACCTGTGCAGGTGAACAGCTCACGTTTTACAGTCTGATTCACTGCACACACACACACACACACACACACACACACACACACTCACACACACACTCACACACACACTCACACACACACACACACACACTCACTCACTCACTCACACACACACACACACACACACACACACACACACACACACACTCACACACACTCACTCACACACACATCACTCACTCACTCACACACACACTCACTCACACACACATCACACACACACACATCACTCACTCACTCACACACACACTCACTCACACACACACACACACACTCACACACACTCACTCACACACACATCACTCACACACACACACACACTCACACACACACACTCACACACACACACACACACTCACTCACTCACACACACACTCACACACACACACTCACACACACACACACTCACACACACACACACACACACACTCACTCACTCACTCACTCACTCACTCACTCACTCACTCACTCACTCACTCACACACACACACACACACACACACACACACACACACACACACACACTCTCACACTGATCACACTGATCTCTGTTTCTTTATCATATCATCTGTGTGTGTATTTATCTGATCTCTCTCTCTGTCTCCCCCCTCAGCCTTCCTGAGGCCCACCGCTCGTTTCCCCCCTTTCTGAGGGGTGAGGAAGGGGGAGGAGTCAAACCTCACGCTGCACGAGAAGTAGAAAAAGAAGAAGAGCTGTACTCGCAGTACTTCTCCTTCTGAATGCAAAAAAAAAAAACACTACAACATTTCTATAAAATAATGTGGATGAGCGGGACAAAGAGCTGAGGTCACACACACACACACACACACACACACACACACACACACACACACACACACACACACACACTCCATACATGTGAGCATCATTCAGTTTGTACAGACGATCAGGTCTCATTATTTAATCATCATCATCAATGTGAGCTGAACAAGGAGCTGAGAGAGAAAGAAGGGGGGAGACATGTTTAAAATTCAGATGTGTGATTTAGCGTTTGTCCACAGGGGGCGCTCTTTGTGCTGGACACATGACCTTACCTACAGAGATAGAACAAAATCAGATCATTTTAATTACTCTGTGTTGATAATTGAATAGTGTTTCCTGTGAACGTCTTTTTATTAAAACTACAGATATGGCTGATATGATGTCTTTATCATGGGAAAAACCGGTGATGAGACCCCGAGATAACGAGGTGAATAAGTCGAGATCTCAAGGAAACAAGCCCAATGCGCTTGTTATGACAGGAAGACAAAATGTCTTCTTAAAACATACACACACAGAAACACACACACACACACACACACACACACACACACACACACACACACACACATGAGTTTTGACGACACCAGCATCAAACAGACTTCAGCTCTTGTCCCGCTCTCTGTGTACATACAGAGGGGAGCGTTTGATTTACACACCAGGACACCTGAGGAGAGAGCACTTGGACTCATGATGTTTTTATTCCCCTGTATTTATAAAATCAGCTGTTTTTCTCCAGACACACACACACACACACACACACACACACACACACACACACACACACACACACACACACACACACACACACACACTGCTCAATCTGACACACACACACACCTGCAGCTTCTTTTTAAAGCCAAGGAGTGTTACGCCTACCAGCTGGGGGTCTGTGTGTGTGCCGGCGTGTGTGACGGGTTAGGCCAAGCAGCATGTAAAACACACACACACACACACACACACACACACACACACACACACACACACACACACACACACACACACTCATCATGCCGCTGTCTGTCACTCACTTGAATCTCCATCTTTGGTGTTTTTAATGATCTCTCTCACACCTGTACAGTTTACAGACTGCATGGTCATGTTCAGCCTGCGGGGGGCGCTGTGTCCCAGGCACAACTCACATCACGTCAAGTTTCCTTCAACTGTCCGGGGACATGTATTTTCAAATACCACAGAAGAAGCAGCATGGCTTCTGCAAGTTACAGTGTACGGTCAGAAGGGGGCGTAATAGAGCACAGTGCACACATTACTGATAATCACAGAAGAAGAAGATAAAGCTTTTTATGGTGATATTTTAAAATGTGCATAAATGAAGTTAAAGGAAACATGACACAAAAAACACAAACACAGCGATGCACGTCTTCCAGAAGTGAACCAGCTGAGTGTGTGAACGCACCGCGATGCATTCAGGGCTCATAGGATTTATTCAGTTGTTTATCGATCACCAACACACACACACAGCTGGTTCACCGTCACACTGTGAACATTTATATATTGATGCTTGAACACAGAAATCTTTTGTTTGTTTTGTTTTTATAAGAAGACTTCTTGTATGTTATTGAGTTGATTTGATTTTGTTTTCATTTATTTATTTGATTTTGAAATATTCTCTTTATTTAACCTGCTGCTGTCGACGTGTTCTGAGAACATGAAGCTCGTCCTGCAGGATGCCTTCTGTCCCACAAACGTGTTCACCGATGATCCGTGCATATCGTCACGTAAAGGTTGCTGCCTCGTGTGGTCGGGAGCAGAACTTGTTGTTTGATCAGCTGATCGTCACTGAACCACAGAGAATCATTCAACAGTAAACATGTAACATCACACTGACCAGGGATCAGTCCATCTCACGTTCTGTTCATAAACCGGACACAAACAGGAAGTCTGTGTACATCAGAGGAACAAACAGGAAGTCTGTGTACATCAGAGAGACAAACAAGAAGTCTGTGTACATCAGAGAGACAAACAGGAAGTCTGTGTACATCAGAGGGACAAACAGGAAGTCTGTGTACATCAGAGAGACAAACAGGAAGTCTGTGTACATCAGAGGGACAAACAGGAAGTCTGTGTACATCAGAGACAAACAGGAAGTCTGTGTACACAAGCGGCACAAACAGGAAGTCGTACGTCAGAGGAACAAACAGGAAGTCTGTGTACATCAGAGAGACAAACAGGAAGTCTGAGTACATCAGAGAGACAAACAGGAAGTCTGAGTACATCAGAGAGACAAACAGGAAGTCTGAGTACATCAGAGAGACAAACAGGAAGTCTGAGTTGGATTTGATTTGTTTTTCATTCTAATGGAGTCTGTCTGTAAAATACATAATAATGATTATAGCGACATTATTTATTTATATTTATATCATTTCTGTTGTATGTTATGGAAACAGTAAAATGATGATTATGACACGACGGCTCTGCTGTTTTACTGTGTGTGTGTGTGTGTGTGTGCTTTTTTTTTCATTCATTAAGTCTCTACACAGACCACCACAGCAGCCACAATCTACACATCTGTCAGACCACCACAGCAGCCACAATCTACACATCTGTCAGACCACCACAGCAGCTACAATCTACACATCTGTCAGACCACCACAGCAGCTACAATCTACACATCTGTCAGACCACCACAGCAGCCACAATCTACACATCTGTCAGACCACCACAGCAGCCACAATCTACACATCTGTCAGACCACCACAGCAGCCGTGAAAACAGACACTTTTTTTCGGACTTTAGCTATTGTGAACGTACAAAAGTAGGTACATAGATTAAATATACGAACCCCATAAAGGGCATAATATGGGCTCTTTAAGAACACTTCAAAAGACATCAAACCTCACAATGAAGGTTCAGACGTGTTTTATGACCAGTTTTAAATAAGAGCAGTGAGGGTAATGCACAGACGCACAGACAGAGGAGCACTCAGCGTGGATTGAAGCAGTTTGAAAGACATCAGTTAGTTAACATACAGCAGCCTGCCATGTAGTTCACATACTTCACTGTTTAACATGTAAACTGTAGAGCAGATGATCAATTTCACTTTTTGTTTCTTGTCCGTCCACTTATATGCGTAATGGCACGTTTCCTTTATAGTGTAACGCTACTTGAGCAATGACTGCAGCGGCCCTGGCAGCCCTTAAGGCAACCCAGCCCACCGGGAATTGTCCCTGTTCTCCAGATTAGCCACTCCGGGCCTGGCTGCTCCTCACTGCTCGCCATGTGAGCTGGCGGGGATTCTTCATCCCTGCGGGCTGACTCAAAATAAAATAAAAAACCAAAATATCTTGTACACCAAAGCTATTATCTTGTGGTGGCAGTGTTGGATAATTATCTTGTGCACACAAGTTGGATGATCTTGTGCACAAGATAATAATATTGTGCTGAAATGAATGTTGTTAATCAAATCTGGGAGTTGATCTTAGGGGTGAGTTTGTCTTGATACACAGGCCTTTGGTTTGTCCTCAGGGGGTTGTTTGGGCTTTGTAGAGATAGGAGGCAAAAGTGTGGACTTTGATTCGGGTCCAAGCTCCTGCTGAGGTGGAAGGGGTTTTGTGATCTGAGTGCCTAGACACTGAATCGTATTTTTGATGGGAGGCAGAGGGGTTGACTTTGGCAGGACTTGAATCTGAGAGTTGGACTTAGGCGGATAGCGAGTTTGTCTTGATACACAGGCCTTTGGTTTGTCCTCAGGGGGTTGTTTGGGCTTTGTAGAGATAGGAGGCAAGAGTGTGGACTTTGATTCGGGTTCAAGCTCCTGCTGAGGTGGAAGGGGTTTTGTGATCTGAGTGCCTAGACACTGAATCGTATTTTTGATGGGAGGCAGAGGGGTTGACTTTGGCAGGACTTGAATCTGAGAGTTGGACTGAGGGGGACAGCAAGTTTGTCTTGATACACAGGCGTTTGGTTTGTCATCAGGGGGCTTTGTAGAGATAGGAGGCAAGAGTGTGGACTTTGATTCGTGCCAACGCTCCAGCTTGAGATTCCTTAGTTCATCTTTCAACAATGTGGTCTCTTCTTTTAAATGCTCGTTCTCTTTCTCAAGAGCATAACATAGAGCTCTTTTACAGATGTTTTCATGCTGAACATTTGTGTATTTCCATCTAGCCCTCTGGAGTTCCTCTGCATCATCACGTTTAGACGAATAGAGGAGCAGCTTTGCATTCAACCTCTCGATCTCCTTGTAAGGACAGGAAAGCACTTCATTATTTTTCTGTTGCTGCTGCTTGTGAATCTTCTGAGGACATGTTGGAGGCAATTTCGTTGTATTCACCTGCGCTGTCTTTTTTAGCAACATGTTCGCATTAAACATAATGTCTTTGATGACAGTCTCCTCATTAAGCTTTGTGTTTCTCAGCTGGAGACTAGCGTTTTGCTTTAAAATCTCTCTGCTTGTCTGTTCTTGCTTCATCTGTTCAGATTCAAGATCTTGGATCTTCTTTTGTAGCTGTGCTACCATCTGTTGAAGGTTAACTAATTTATTTTTCAAATGTTCTTTTTCTTCGACCTCCTTATTCAGCGTTTTCTTCCACAGGAGCTGCTCTTTATCAGAAGTCACTGAAGAGGTCTCCTGCAATGCCTTCATTTGCACCATCTCAGATTTGAGAAGTTCATGATTATTCTTGGAAGAGTCATATTTAATTGTCATCTTTGCCAGCTTTTCATTTGTTTGATCATTTTCTACCTTCAGCGCTTGGTTAATGGTCTTCAACTTCTCCATGACCTTGTCACACTTTTTTAGTTCCTCCTGAACTTGGGTCAGGTCTTTGTAATAATGGTCTATCTGAGCAATCATCATCTCACTTTGAGTGATTGACCTTCTTTGTTTGCCCTCTGCCTCTTCCATAGTTTTCCAAAGGGATGTTATCATCCTTTCATTGCTCATAATGTCTTCTGTGCGTTTCCTCTCCTTTTTCTCCAGCCTTTCATAATGGGAAATGCACCTGTTAAGCCTAAGCTTCAATCTATTGTTCTTCATGTTTTGCTGCTCCACAGTCTTTTCCAGCTTCTCATTTTCAACTGTCATAGCATTTATTGTTCCTTTGTGTTCACTAATGCGTTTGTCTTTCTCCATCTGTGACTCTTTGAACGACATAATGATTCTATTTGAATCTGACCTCTCCATTTTTAAATTGTATATTTCCATCTTGTTCTTCTCTGCTTGGCCTAGGGCATTTTTAAGTTCTTTATCTTGTATTGCAACTGTTTCCTCTGTTGCAGTTAGTTTTTGTCTAAGATGGGGTATCTCATTCAACTGTAAAATGCAATCTTTGAGAGCTATTTTTGATTTCTTCAACTTCTCTGTAGTGGCTTCATGTAAGAGCTCATTATGTTTCAATTTATTTTTTTGGTCATCCATAACTTTCAACGCATGATTTTTAAACCCTGTTAATTTACTAATATTATAAGTGTTTGTCTCATTGGTCATCTTCAGTGTTTTGACCTCAAAAATTAATGAGGTATAACTTGCTATCGCACACTCTTTCTGCTCTTGCATCAATTTGTTGATTTTCAATTTTTCCTCTAGTTGTTTGCATGTCCTTTGTAAAGCTAAAGTCCTTGCAGCTGAGTCGTTGGTTTCCTGAGCTCTCAGAAGCTGCTCATTTTTCAATTCTTCCTGCAGCTTTAGTTGAGAGGCTTTCTGCACTTTGAAATCTTTTTGTAGTTTTTCATGCTGCTCAGTTGCTGTCTTTAAAGACAGCTGGGTTTTTCCCAGATCTGTGTTTTCTCTTTTTAGCTCTCTGATCACTGCCATTAAGCTTTTCTCATTGTCCTTGCACCTCTTTAATTCAGCATTATACTGGCTCCTTTTTAAGTCTGATGCGTTCATGATGCCTCCTTTGTCTTGCTTCAAATAGCCTGCTGTGAAAAGAAATGTGGGTCTTCACCTGCACCTACTCAGTTCAGAATCAGATTAAAGACAGATTCAGTCACTCTCTTCACTTCAGTTACTAAGCTAAAGCTGCTGTGATCTGTGACATCATGACACTCTAATAATGATGTCATAAGGGCTTTGATGTTTGAACCGGGTTGAACCGCTGGGGATTCTATGCAGGGTTTTTCAAACAATAACAAAAGAGCCGCTGCTGTATCTGGTTTGAACCAGTGGGCGCGCACTGTAGCTGTTCCCACTCAACGTTCTTGAAGCCAAAATACGCCGCTTACGGGCGCTTCCATTTGGCGATTTTGACGTCATTTGGAGCCAGAGTCTGCGCAGTAGGGTCCGGGGGCAGGAGCCCTGGTAACACGCCCCGCCCACTTAGCGTACTGCCCTGATGACTTACTTACGCAGCCCAGTTACGCCGAAAGCGCTCTGCCGGTCTACGATGAAGAAATGTGTAAGTACAACAAACCACTGTATTCAAAGTCTAATGTTTAAACACTGTGTTTTTAAAAATCCAGTTATTTTGATCATTATTGAAAATACGTGGGCTGCTGGGTCCTCTGGTTTTAATGAAATCGTTCTATATTTAAGCTATATTTAAGCTAGGTTAGCACCACAGACCGTAGACTACAGGTGGTAAGATATGTTGTATTCTGTTAGAAACTGATAGTCTGCAATGTGAGTCATGTCTGATTTTCTAATATATTTAAGTGAACAGTAAATCAATTGTTTTTTATGTCTTCATTTAGGCAAAGAAGAGATAAAAGCAGCTGGTCTGATATCTTCCACAGAGGTGAAGTGTAAGTTAAAATCATCTGTTAAAAGTTTATATCCTGTGATTGTTTTTAAGTTTCATAAGAGGATTGTAAAAACAAGCTATTGTTAACAATACAGTCTTCTAAAATAAAAATCACACTGAGTCAACACCAGCTAAATGTTAAATAGAAAGGTGATGTTTTCTTTTCCATTTTACAATCAACAGAATCTAAAAATGACTCATTTCAACCTTTGTCTGCACACCTGTTACAGAGGTCAGGCTGGGGTCACTTAGTTTGAAGGAACCTCCTCCTTTTTTCACCTGTGCCAGATGCCCTGCTCATCCACTGTGGTAGAAATGACCTTACACCAGCAGCTCTCCCAGATGAAGAGTCCTCTCTGCCATCACCCAGAG